GGTTCAGAGTTCTGGGACCAGCCCCTGAGCCTGCTTGGTCAGGTATTCTGTGTTGTTGTTGGCGGAGCTCTCTGCTACACATTCACCTGACCTGTCATCTTGTTTGTTCTCCTACTGCAACCATTTTAAAAATTATCTTCAGCAAAATTTTATTTGCATGCGATATTGATGACATTGCTCAATAATTTCCACATTCTATTGGATCACCTTCCTTTGGAATGAGCACAAATATGAATCTTTTCCAGCTGGTTGGCCAGGCAGCACCTCCCAACTTCCTTGGCATTGATGAGTGAGGGCTTGTAGCATTGTGTACATTTGCTGACGCATCTCAGTTAGTATCCGCACCGGTTTCTGGAGTCTTGGTTTTCACCAATGGCCTCAGGGCAGCTTGGACTTATTTGTCCACCAATGACTTCCAGATGAAAAGAATAGTAACAATCGATAAGTGCTGTGCTAAACATGGGAGTCCTACGAAGCACAGCTCTACTCTGAACCACACGGGGTCACAGTGAGTCAGATGTTGAGGCCAGGCGTGGTGCAGAAGGTAATTAGCCTTTGATGAATTCACCTGAAAACCCTGGCAGCTTGATGAGGTGGTCGGTAGTGGTGTAATTATACCCATTCTGAGGCCAGGAATGTATTCCCAGCTGCTGGGACCTAAAAGGGCAAGGGCTGACTGTGGCCCCTCATCTCCCATCAGGTCTGGCAATGGATTCATCCCCATGGCTCAACATCCAACCAAACACTGAACAGGTCTCTAAAGAGAACAATAATACTGAGGAGGTATGCAAATGTTAGAGTAATGAACCATTTGAGATAAAAAAGGCAGTGTTTACCCAAGGACAAAGTTCAGAAGGGATGGAAAAGGAGGAAGAGTAGGAACAGGAAACACAGGGAGGAAGTGGGTTCAGTGATGTTGCATTGAAGGGGTTGCAATCAATGAAATGAGCTAAAATGTATATCAACTGTTGAATGGAAAACTGACCTGCTCTGTAAACCTTCACCTGATTCACAATAAAAAGTTAAAAACACAGAAAGAAAGGAAGAGAGAGATACACACAAAGGAAGGTAGGCAGGCAGGGGCTGCTGTGTGCATTACCAATGTAATCGGAGAGGTTGACTTTGAGCGCTTGTATCAGCAGTCCTTGCTCCACGAGCTCCTTGTACAGCGATTCGATGCTCCTAGGATTCAAGCCGACAGGGGCCTCCTGTGAGCACACACGGTGGTACTGTGGGTGGCCACGATTGAGAGGGAGGACTTAAATCGATTATAACCCAAGAATGTTTCAACACATGCAAGGAAGTTGTCTTTTGACACGTCTCTACCATTTGGAAGGGAATCGAATGTTTTGAAAAGAAACAAAACAAAATGCGGATTCATCCATGTGTCTGTCTGATGTTTCCTGTTAATAAGAATTACGCCCTTGGACTCCTGAGACCTGCTGTCACTCCTACTCCCACCACTGTTATGTCTTCGTGATGCATGAATAGGAATTAGAAGTAACCCAACAATAGTGACCTCTTGGACCCATCGTTGTGTATTTACGACTCATTGGCAAACATTGGTACACAGTCCTTCCTGGCAGGTGTGCTTCATTTTAGCCAACAGTAAAGTACGAGGGTGAGTCAAAAATGATCTGCACCATGATTATATTAAAACTTATGTTGGCTGTACTGTCTTATTAATGCTTTCTGTCCAAGGTCACTGCTGTGCAGGTATGAACGTGGACATCTGCAAAAAAAATTTAGATCAATACTCGAAGGCAGGTGTTCCTTTAAAAAAAGGTCTCTACTGGTGAC